TGATGCGTGGTGCTTCCGTTCGATCCATCATTGGTGAGCTGCTTGGCCGACGTGAGGGTATCTCCTATGGCAAGGGTGGTTCCATGCACATGTTCGCCAAGAGCTTCTACGGCGGTAACGGTATCGTCGGCGCTCAGGTTCCCGTTGGTGCCGGCCTTGCCTTTGCTCACAAGTACAATGGCAACAAGAACGCCTCTATCATCCTCTACGGTGATGGTGCTAGCAACCAGGGCCAGGTCTTTGAGGCTTTCAACATGGCCAAGCTCTGGAACCTCCCTGCCCTCTTTGGCTGCGAGAGTAAGTCAATATGATAAGAACGAGTCAGAGCACTACTGACAACTCTACAGACAACAAGTACGGTATGGGTACCGCCGCTGCTCGTTCTTCCGCTTTGACCGACTACTACAAGCGTGGCCAGTACATCCCCGGTCTGAAAGTCAATGGTATGGATGTCCTTGCCGTCAAGGCCGCCGTCAAGTACGGCAAGGAGTGGACTGCTGCCGACAAGGGACCTCTCGTCCTCGAGTACGTCACCTACAGATATGGTGGTCACTCCATGTCTGATCCCGGTACCACCTACCGAACTCGTGAAGAAATTCAGCGCATGCGATCCACCAACGATCCTATTGCTGGACTCAAGCAGAAGATCCTGGACTGGGAGATCACAAGTGAGGAGGAGCTCAAGAAGATTGACAAGGAGGCTCGTGCCCACGTCAACGAGGAGGTCGCTGCTGCTGAGGCCATGGCCGCGCCTGAGCCCAAGCCTGAGATTCTGTTTGAGGATATCTACGTTCGGGGATCCGAGCCCGAGTACATCCGTGGCCGTATTCCCGAGGAGAACCACTACTTCCAGTAGAGGAACTGAGCGCGAGGCCGTACCACTATAATGATTTGAGCACTTACTTGTTGCTTGCTGTAATATACATCCATGATCTATCTAGAAAGAGGCCTGGCATGGTCCGAAAATGGAGAAGGGCGAGGACCCAGGATTGCTTTTTTCGTGTTACTCATGGATGTCTCTTTGTCCTACTGTGGTTTATATCAATGTCCTTTCTCAAAGTTAGTAACGAAAGAAATCACCCAACATCATGATCTCTGGCGAGCCATCTCGGCCTATCTCCCCCGAGACATCAAGAGCTTGCTTGCATGATGGCCCCTCTAACAATTAATTAACGCGCGCTAATAAATTTGATCGACGCCTTACTCAACATGGGAATAGCCGGGTGCACGTCCTGCCTTACTAGGCAACAAAGTCACGTGGAGCAGGCATCTCGCGCGTTCTGGTCGCACCTCCCCTCGGGAATGGCAGCTAATTAACGCGACAGGTTGCCTAGCGGGCGCGTCATGCTACTCAGTGTCAGGTCAACTCGCGGGCTCACAATTGCCCCTCTCTTTCTACAAAACACTTCCAGATTAATATCACGACCTGTAAATCTTTACTCGTTGCGTTTGTTTTCGATAATAACTCTACGCACCATGGCCCCAAAACAGGCGACACTCGGGTATGTCAAGTCCGGACAGAGCACAATCGGGTGTGTGGAGGGACACCTAAAAGTTCAAGACTCGATCACTGACCGAGGCCAATTGGTACCTACAGGAAGTTCTTTGGTGCAAAAGGTGCGCCTCCTCAACAGACAAAGCTCTCCTTCAGCAGCAAACCTAAAAAAGAAGAAGTGAAGGACGAGGAGGAGGCTGAAATGAAGGTCAAATCGGGCTCAGATTCTGAGAAAGGTATTTTACTCCTTCGATAAAATCTTACAATATTCTAAATATGGATCAGAAACAAAGAAGCGAGCAAGATCAGAAGACAAGCCCAAGCCCGAGCCTACGCCCATTAAGAAAGAGGATGTCGATGACGAGAGCGATGGGCCTGTCACCAAGCGAGCACGACGAAGTCGAAAGCGAGTTGAGGAAGAAGATGACGATGAGATGATCGAAGAAAACGTGAAGAAAGAGAAGCATGCACCCCCCAAGGAGTCAAATATCGCAAGCACACACTCAAAAGTCAAGTCGCCCAAGAGGTCAAAGGTAACCCCCAAAGCCAAGGCGGCCAAAGAACCAACTCCTGAGGAGAACGATGATTCTGCCAAAGAAGAGGCATCGACAGCTTCAGCTTCAGAAGCCGAGCTTGACGACGAGGCAGATGTCGAAGATAAGCCTGAAGTTGCTGCCAAGGCTCGCGAGAAGGTCCAGACAAAGTTCAAGTCTAAGACGAAAGACCCTTATCCTGACTGGAAGCCCGGCACCCCTGTTCCGTATGCGGCCCTGTGTACAACCTTCTCTCTTGTGGAAATGACCACCAAAAGATTGATTATTATGGAGCATTGCTCTCTGTTCCTTCGCCAGGTCATGCGCCTGACCCCTGAGGATCTATTACCTACAGTCTTGTTAATGATTAATAAATTGGCTCCCGACTACGCTGGTATCGAGCTGGGTATCGGCGAGTCGTTAATCATGAAGGCTATCGGCGAGACGACCGGACGAAGCCTCCAGGTGATTAAGGCTGATCAGAAAGAAATTGGCGATCTTGGATTGGTGGCTGTAAAGAGTCGATCAACTCAGCGCACTATGTTCAAGCCCAAGGCTTTGACTATCAGGGGTGTGCATCAAGGCCTAATGAACATTGCTACTGTCACTGGCAACGGTGCTCAGGGGCGCAAGGTGGATGGTATCAAGAAGCTTCTTGCCGCAGCTGATGCTAACTCCACCGGTAAAGTCGATATTACTAAGGATAAGGGAGGTCCGAGTGAAGCCAAGTTTATCATTCGATTCCTGGAAGGAAAATTAAGACTCGGTCTAGCTGAGAGAACTGTTCTTGTTTCTTTGGCGCAAGCTATTGTTGCCCACGAAGCAGATGCCAAGGGTAAGGTCCCTAGCACCTCAGATCTTGAGAAGGGTGAATCAATTCTCAAGACTGTCTACAGGTAAGCCACGTGGACCAATGTCGATGACCCATGCTTACAAAATACAGCGAGCTTCCGAGCTACGACGTGATTATTCCTGCAATGCTAGAACACGGTATCATGAAGCTTCGTGAAAATTGCAAGCTCCGACCCGGTGTACCTTTGAAGCCTATGCTGGCCAAGCCAACCAAGGCAATAACCGAAGTACTCGATCGCTTTGAGGGACAAACCTTCACCTGTGAGTATAAGTATGATGGCGAAAGAGCACAAATCCATTATGTGGCCAGAGATGCGCCTCAAGAACTAAGCGAAGCGAGCCAAGGCGCCGCCAAGGAGGCTGCCGCTGGTGTTGCTAGCATCTTCTCTAGAAACTCCGAAGATCTCTCCCGGAAGTATCCCGATATCCTTGCCAAACTCCATACTTGGGTCAAGCCGGACACCAAGAGCTTTGTCCTGGATTGTGAAACAGTGGCCTGGGACGTCGATGAGAAGAAGGTGTTGCCCTTCCAGCAACTCATGACACGCAAGAAGAAGGATGTCAAGGTTGAGGATGTAAAAGTCAAGGTCTGCGTATTTGCATTCGATCTGCTGTACCTCAATGGAGAAGCTGTTGTTGAGAAGGCACTGCGTGAGCGACGTGAGCTTCTTGAAACTGCGTTTAATCCTGTAGAGGGCGAGTTTTCCTTCGCTACGCACATGAACGGTCAGGAACTGGATGAGATCCAGGTTTTCCTTGACGAAAGTGTCAAGGCATCATGCGAGGGTCTGATGGTAAAAATGCTGGATGGAACTGAGAGTGGATATGAGCCCAGTAAGCGAAGTCGTAACTGGCTCAAGGTAAAAATTCGTAACCGCATTACTGGAATCTGTATGACTGACTGCTATCATAGATCAAGAAGGATTACCTCTCAGGCGTCGGTGATTCCCTGGATCTTGTTGTTCTGGGCGCGTACTACGGCAAAGGCAAGCGCACATCTGTTTACGGTGCATTCCTTCTGGCCTGTTACAACCCTAACTCAGAGACATACGAAACTGTTTGCAACATTGGAACTGGCTTCTCAGAGCAGGTCTTGGAGGATCTTCATACCCAACTCTCTGAGATTACCATTGATAGGCCTAAGCCTTTTTACTCCCACTCTTCTGGCGGTCAACACCAACCTGATGTCTGGTTTGAGCCTCGGTATGTCTGGGAAGTCAAGACAGCCGATTTGACCCTCAGTCCACGTTACAAGGCCGGTGCTAAGGAAGGTGTCGACCCGTCAGGAAACAAGGGTATCAGTCTTCGATTCCCTCGCTTCATCCGTGTGCGAGATGATAAGAAAGCTGATGCTGCCACGACAAGTCGCCAGGTCGCTGAAATGTATCGCAAGCAGGAGAGCGTGACAAAGAACAAGGGCCCCTCTGTTGATGATGACTTTGAGTATTAGAATTAGTGTTGTTCTCTTCGGCTTTCTCAGAGGAGCAGTTTATGCATCGTCTAGTATGTTGTTGCTCAGGCGTTGATCTCATACTATATCAGGATTTCAATCAAGCATGGGAGTTCCACGGTGAAACAAAAAGTAGGGGCTATTTTGACCTGACCATTACTTCATGAAAATTCAAGCAAATTATGACAAATACTCAGATCTCCAGCGTCTTGTGTACTGGCGTGCAGTTTTTGTTTGCAAATAAGGAAATACTTCTGGCGAGCTGAATCAATGTCGGTCATGCCTTGGGGAATGAGAAAACATGTTACACCAAGCTTAGATATAAGTTAATTAGAAATGTATGCACTAAGCCTATATTAAGGATACGTAACTATTCTTGTTGTTTACCGAGAACATGATTCTTTTTGTCTCCCCTTGGCATCTGATATTACAAGAGAGAGGCACATCTTGTAACAAAGCCCGAAGCGCATGACAGCACATAATAATGGGTTATTCCGATAAACTGAGATGGGAGGCCAGTAATATATCAGGATAAATCTGTACGAAGCGTTGAATTGTACATTTATATATATTGATAGCCTACCAAGAATAGCAAACTCGTCTATATGATCAAAATCAATATACCCATGATCAATCATGCATTACCCAGCATCAAATCTACAGGCTCCTTTTATAACATTGGTTCTTCCCCTTGTATACTATCCCCATCATCGGCACCATCGCAATGTAATAATCCACTACTTTCACCGCCGCCATTGTCGTCTGCTATCCTGTCGGTCAGGCCAGTCTCATGACCAGCATCGCCGGGTGCCAGACCCATGGTCCGGCGTGTCTCTTCGGCACCATTGAGGACATACCAGACGTCCTTCTTTGTCAACAAGCCCTGCAGAACACCGCGATCGCTAAAGAGAAGGTATCTGAGGCCGAGCTTTTGAAAATATGTAGCGACAAGGTGAAGACTTGTATGCGAAGCCCGGGTAAGCGGTGTTTGGTCCATCCAGGGGCGAAGATCCAGGGTTGTGCGTGGATCTGCCATGGGCTGGTGAGAAAAGAAGGCTTCAGTCTCAGGGGGCAGCAAACGAGGTGCTTGCGTCGAGGCTGAGAGATTGTATGCCAGCTCGGCACGAGAGATATAGCCAAGAAGAATGGCTTCTCGGGGATCTGATATGACGGGGAAACCGCGGTATGGGTGCATCTCGAGGATAGTGGTGAGAGATGCGATGGTGTGACCCGTGGCAGTAAGAACTACAAGATCCTCGATGCGAGTCATGACTTGAGAAGCTGGGATGTCAGGAATGGATTCGTTATTCTCACTATTGTCGAGAAAGGGATATTCGTTGAAATGAATCCACGATTCGTAGATACCGCGACGTGAGAAAGCATCGCCCACCCACTTTGATATCATGACAGCGATCATAATGGGGAGAACATAGGTGAGGGCGCCCGTGAGCTCGAACATGATGACGACAATAGAGACCGTCAAGCGGGTTACTCCAGCAAGGGATGCTGCTGCTCCGACGATGGCATATGTACCTGGTGTAACGCAGGGTATATCAGGTTCGCATGAGCCAAATAAGAAGAACCCAGGGTGATTGGTAACCCAAATCTCCATGATGATACCTACAGCGCGGCCTGTCAAGGCACCAATGGCCATCGAAGGAAGAATAATTCCGGCGGGGATTTGGAGACCGAATGTGACAGCGGCGAGGAAGAAGCCCAATACAGATGCAAAGACTAGGAGGACAATGGTCCTGGCCGAGGCAGCTCCTGTTCTACAGAGGCCAATGGGGTCGTCGAGAACCTGCGAGCATTCTGAAAAGAGGTTGGAGACGAGCTCAGTCGTCTGCACCTTCATGTAGAAGTTAGGGTAGTTGATGAGGGCCGTGAAGAAGGCCACGATGAGGACCTGGACGATAGGGCCTGGAATCCATCGGTTCGTCTTCTTCCAGCGAGCAATAGCCATGTTGAGTCTTATGAAGAGACCGCCATGTATGCCCTGGAAAGGAAATACTGTTAGTGACTTGTTCTGTTTGTACTTGATGTTGAACTTACACCCATGACGCCTAGTATGGCGTAGGGGAGCAACTCAAAGCCATGCCATCCAATGCTGTAGTGAACTTGATACAAGACAAGCTTGCCAGATCGAAAGGGGTCGAAAGCCTGAAGAACAACTGCAGCAGTCATGGCACAGACAAAGCTCTGCCACATGGTCTTGTCTGGAAAGTAATAAGACAGAGTCTGTGGAGAATCAGTATTGGTTTGGGGGCTGGGACTGAGCATAACTAACCTCGAGACTGAACAAGACACCACCGATGGGGGAACCAAAGGCAACTGAGACACCTGAGGCGGCGGCAGCCGAAAGAACCTCACGTTTGCGAGCTAATAGCATTAGCTGATGAGAACTGACTGAATCATAGGGAAGCTCTCTACCTTCGTTGTCATTGATGTTGCGGAACAATTTCGTAAATACGTTGGCGCAACAGCAAGCAACATGAATTAGAGGGCCTTCTTTACCCAACCACATGCCTGATGCAACAGCAAGAGCCTGTGACGGTGTTAGTAACGAGCTGGTTAGCAGTATAGGCTTGACTGACAAGACCAAGAGACTTGATGATGAGTGTCCAGAGTCCAAGGAACCGTCGAATCACGAAGCCCCCCAGAACAGTCTTGATTTCTGGAATACCGCTGTGTTTTGCGTAGATGGCATATTCTTGGACGAGAAGTGCCGCGACATATGAAAACAGCATCTTCCAATCGTTAGCCATATGAGGTGGTAGTAGAGGACATGGGGTTCCGGTCCAGTGTACATACCGCGAAAGAAACAAAGAAGAAATACTCGATGAACCACTTGCCACCTTTTGAATGGACTCCCAGAGCGTCGCCCCAAGTCTTCCAACCGTCACATTTGGAGCCTTGGTCATAACCATAACAGCAGAACGCCTTGTTTAGGTAAAAATGGCCTCCTTCTGGTCCACTGGCGCAGTATCCTTCCTTCAAATCTCCAAGCCAGTCGGTCGTGACGTTGATGACAGCAGCTACAGTGCCTACAAGCATACCCGTCAAGAGCAGGACGATCCAGACTTGGCTGGCATCAATGAGGCGTCGCACATAACCTATAAGCCCAGATGCACTCGAGTATAACATGCGCAATCTTTGGCGCTCTTTTGTGTATTCGAAGATCCAATCGATAGCCGTGAGATCCTCGTAGCCGACTCGACGCCCTGGCCCCTCGACATACCAATCATGCGGCACACCATCCTTGGAAGCTTCGTTGAACACGACAGTTTCAGGGCGCGGGGGAGTATTAGAGCTTGGATGAACAGCTGGAGAGGGTCCTCTCGAGGAGGCATGCGGCCGTGAACCTGTGAGGGCGGAGAGAAGTCGAGAGGGCGCAGACCATAGCGAGGGACCCTGTCTGCGTTTAAAGGTCATGGGTGCACCCAAATTGCTCTGAAGCGGATCGTCACCGAGCACATGATCTCGGTCGCGAGACCTTCCACGGCCGCTGTCATCGCTGGCGTCGTCATGAAGGAAATCGAGCTCGTCGCGATCATCGGAATTGGAGTTTGGAGTATGCGACGAGGACGAGGCGGCGGAAGCAGAGGCAGAGGCGGAAGCGGAAGTGGAAGCGAAGGCGTAGGGGTCGTTTTGAGACGCTCCAGACATGATGCGGCTCATGACATTGTGATTATGCGGTGTAAGAGCTCACAGGTGGCCCAGAGTCTTTGGTTTGTGAGAGATTGAAAGGGAGAGTCGAGATAAAGTTAGGTACTAAGGTAGGTAATCTTACGAGGTTATTGGTGTCCATTTCAAGTGCGCTATTGACCTCGGAGAGTTCAGTGGAGGACACGCAATGGCTACAGTTGGTCTGGTTGGCTGTTGTAGGGCTTGGATTGCCTAAAACGGCGACTCGACCAGCTGAAAACAAACATTGGATGCATCAATGGATGGCGTCGGGTGGTTTTTTATAGCTGAGACAAGGAAGAGTTTTAAACAGAAGCATTGAAAGATTCTAGACTATTATTGTCTCGAGTTGCATGTTTAACGAGGCTCAAGTTTAATTACCACCTAAATCAATTTCCTGGTCTCGCGAAGATCTTGGCTTTCATTGTCCTTGTCGCAACTGGATCAAGACACTTATTTATGTCATAATTCTCATAGACTGAGCAGTATATGATACGACGGAACGATATGCCCAGATCTCAATGAAAATTAGGATTTATTCGTCATGTAAAATGAATTCGCTGATATCATCCCTTCCATAGATAAATGTTGGAGGTTTCTAGAACATGATCATCTAGGTACTAGTCTAGGCGCGGAGAGGAATTTATAGAATAGTGGGACCCAACAAAGTTGTTGCAAGTTAACCTAGGTACGGAGTACCTTACCTTAGGTACCTTACACAAGTGCACACACTCTTCTCATCTGAGTTGGCAACTATTTTCATATACAACCAAGACTTTTATCTTCCTCAAGGGACCCAAGTGTTGCATTCGGCTTATGGAAGTCACAGCTCGGTCTCCATTCCTCGACTCAATACTACAAAATGGCTGAAAATACACAAAGTACTGCTTCGCAACCTACAGACGTCAACAAGATACAATCACTTCTCAAGGCCAGAGATGATACCCAAAGATTTGTTGGACTGGCCCTCCTCAAATCTCTCCTCGACAGCTCAGAACAGCTTCGCCAAGATGAGCAAATAGTTCAAGGTCTATGGTCTAGTCTCTCACCCAAGTTCCTTGACCGACTACTACGCACAGGCTCAAAGCCTTCAACCCAGAATTCAAAAGAGATGTTGGATTTGGCTGTATCTGTCTTGCACATTTTCTCCATTCTTCTTCCAGACCAGGTCAAGAGTGATGCCAAATTCGTCAACAGAATCCCCTTGCTCGTCAATGCAGTTCTCTACAGGTATGTGGCCTCCTCGCCAGGCACCAGGAACAAACTAATGGCTGTTTCAGCTCTGAAGATACCACAAAGTTAATACTTCAACTACTACATACCCTAGTAAGCTCACAGCAAGGAGCTCAAGAGTTTATCAAAGTGGAAGACTTTAGCTCCCTTACCGAGATCGCTCCTAGCCATGCACCGGTTCTAGATATCTTTTGCTTTGCATGGCTCAACATCATGGCATCCATTGAAGATCCCTCTACACTGGTGAGGCAGATTGACGACACGATTCAGAGTCTAGTCTCATCATTCACTGGAACTGATGCTGTCACTCTTCTCGAGTTCCTTGGTTACTTTCTTCGGCGTGCCAACTCTTCTGTGCGTTTTCCACAACTTCTCTGAGAGAATTATCTGACCGTTTGCTCCAGACCCTTCCTCAATTTCCCAGGTGGCTCAAGGTAGTCGTTAGCTACATTCAAAACCTCGTCATAAGTAGGCCAACACCTGAAGGCCGAGCGGCATATACAAATGCTACAGCCTCGATACTCCAAGCTTTCCCATCCGAGGCACCGAAGTTGGTGTTTATCGACGACAAAAAGGACGACAAGGCCTTCTCATACTTACTCATCAACCTACTACTCATTGATATCCGCTCTTCGGCTCCCACTCTTCTAGAACAGCTAAATAAGCCCGAGTACCCCAAAGTCTCAACACGCCTCACCTCTGCATTCGACGTCATCTCAATCTTCATTGGATACCTCGTGCAGTGTTTGGAAGACGAGTCCATGGAAACCTTCTTCATGACCCCTGAGAACCTCCTGAAGCTCCGTAAGGGCATTTCCGAGACAATGTCTCTCACAGCCGAGTATCTTCGCGATCGATGGGATGCTTCTGTTGCCGGCGCTATGGGACTACATCCAGACGCTCGAACTGGCACGACGGATACATCAACTGGGGTCCACTACACACTCGCTTGGGACTCAATGAGAGATAATGCCGACGATGATATGTTCATACTTTCAGCTGTGCGAGCGTTGGCGCTTTGGCTGCGAGAAGAGGAGAATGATATCCTGCGAAAAGAGGCTACTGGTTTGATGGATATGTTTATGGATCTTTACAAATCCAGCTCTCAACATAAACTAGACTTTCGATCTCCTGTCCTCGTGGCTCTCGAGGGTGTGACTACGCTACCCCAAGGTCGCGAGCTGTTGCTCGCCAACGAAGGGTGGACAATTCTCGTTCAAGATCTGAACTCAATCCTGCAGCATGCCTCACAGACTTGCGGAGAGCATGAGGCTGCTCGGGCTACAGACATTGTTCGCATTCTACTTCCCATAGTTGAGCGAGAGTCCAGTGGTGTTCCTGAAGCTTGGATGGATCTCATCACTTCAGTAGCAGCATGGGATATCCATGATTCAGAGCTCTCACCCAAGGTACAGGAGGCAGCAATATCCTCTTTGCAACTTTGCTGCTCGGTGCTTGGAGGGGCGAACCGGGGCATGCAGCAGAGATACAAACACTCTATTGCTGCTATCTATGGGATTGCGTCTCAACTTGCTAAGCAAGTCAATCATGAGAATCCTGAGAGGGAAATGTTAGACGATGTTCTCGCTACATTGGGTTTGTTAGCGCAGGAGTGATGACAACTACGGGATAGCCTTTCCGGTGTACTGATATTGACATGGCGTTCAGAGCTAAATATTGTGTGGGATTGATAGCGCTTATGTTAATACGTCAAGCGTTGAAATACATTGAGGTGTTCTGTCCTACCCCTCACGGGATTGTGGCATCCCTTTTGGCCAACAGCAACTCCATCAATCACGCTGACGAAACGCCGGCGTTGCGTTGTAAGAGATGAATAAGCCACCTGCTTACATGGCGCTGAATGATTGTGCCTCGTATAAGAGGCTTCTATTCATACACTCTATTTAGCTGGTCTTTAAGTCCTGATAGAATCAGATTTCAATTGATAACCTCTGTTCATGAATCGACTCCTTGGCCTATCGCGTCTAACTTCCATCAGTCAGCTTCTCAAACGCCAACATCTTCATACAATGGCTACGCACTACGACGTTATCGTTCTCGGCTCCGGTCAGAGTGGCAACCCAGTCGCCAAAGCCTTTGCCAATGCTGGTCGCAAAACAGCTGTGATTGAGCGTATGGCCCTCGGCGGCACTTGTGTCAACGTGGGTTGCACGCCTACAAAGACCATGATCGCCTCTGGAAGAGCAGCCTACATGGCCAAACGTGGTAAAGACTATGGCGTACACGGAGGAAATGGTAATGTTGAGATCGACATGGCTCGCGTAAGGCAGCGCAAGCGCGAAATCGTGGAGCAGTGGAACGCCGGCAGTGTCAGAGGTTTGAATGCAGCAAGTGTCGATGTTATCATGGGCGATGGTAGCTTTGTCGGTGAGAAGAAACTCAAAGTTTTGTTGAACAATGGGGGCGAGAAAGAGGTCAGCGCCGATCAAATTTTCGTCAACGTCGGTGAGAGGCCATTGAGGCCAGAAATCACAGGTCTCGACGATGTTGATCCAGCACGAGTACTCAACTCGACTACTATCATGGAACTGGATGAGGTTCCACAGCGTCTCGTTGTGTTGGGCGGCGGGTATATAGGCCTTGAGTTTGGACAGCTCTTTCGCCGCTTGGGCTCTGATGTGACTGTTATTCAAAGGGCCAAGCAGCTTGTGCCCCGAGAAGACACTGACGTAGCGAAGTGTCTCCTAGATATCCTTCAGCAGGACGGAATCACGGTTCATCTTTCGAGCACAGTGAGCTCGATCTCAGCTTCCAAGGACACAAAGGCACCTTTCGCAGTGAGCATTAAGACCCCAGGAGGGGAGGCAGAAGTTTCCGGAACACATCTCCTGCTGGCAACAGGCCGAATGCCCAACACAGATAGCCTGAACCTCTCCGAAGTTGGCATCAAGACGACTCCTAGAGGTCACATTATTGTCGACGATAAACTCCAGACCACGGTTTCAGATATCTACGCCATAGGAGACTGCCACGGAGGTGCTGCTTTCACACACATGTCCTACGATGATTCCCGCATTATCCGCACCAACCTCATCCCAGAAGCTATGTCATCGACAACTCCAGCTATGCCTACGACGAAGGCATCGATTTCACGAGTTCTGACTCCTTATGTCATGTACACCGATCCACAGCTTGGCCATGTTGGGCTCCACGCTAGAGACCTCGCCAACGGTTCAAGAGAGGTGAAGATTGCCACGATGCCTATGAGCTATGTTGCAAGGGCGCTGGAGACAGCAGAGCCACGTGGTATGATGAAGGCGACTGTGGACGCAAAAACCGGTGAGATCTTGGGATTCACATGTTTGGGATTGGAAGGTGGTGAAATCATGTCGATTGTGCAAACTGCTATGATGGGTAATTTGAAGTGGTGGGACTTGGAAGCAGCTGTTTATGCCCATCCGAGTCTTGCTGAGAGTTTGAACAACCTGTGGGGGCACTGGGAATGATTAATGCATCCGAGAATAGCTGCATATGGCAGATATAGTATCAATATGAAGGCATTCAAACTGCCGTGCTCTGTGGCAGCGTGGCAGCGGCAGTTTGGCTTGTCTTCGCTTCAGCTGCCTCCGCTTTAGCACGTCGTTTCCTCGCTCGTCGCACCTCAATCTCCAGGTTCAGCATTTCAGCGTTGACAGAAACAAGCCTTGGGATAACTTCCTCTACTGCTGTCACGGAATGCGTTTGTGCCATGCGGAGAGGCATGGGAGCCAATAAACCAAACCATTGCA